CCCCCCCTTTCCCCCCAAACCCCCCCCCCCCCCACACACATTTGGTTCAGGGGATCCCAGTTTAAATGTCAAGTCACTATACTTTTCACCAGTGATTTCTGTATTAATCCCATCATCTCTGACCTGCAGCATGAACTCAGAGGTCAATAGGGTGTGGAGAGAGCAAGCCAAATTACAAACAAAGGCAGATCAAAACATGGGAGTGACACTCAGCCACAAGTGTAAACGCAATATGCCCCCTTTCCAATACGTATGATGTGAGTTTGCGGCCTCATGGACACCAGCAGGGTACTGCGATGGGAGGACTGACTGCATCTGGGGGTGCGTCTACACAGCACCCTTAGCTAGAAATAAACTACGCAATGTGTGGAGTGCAACTGGCGTAGCTTATTTCAAGTGTATTTCGAAATACTTATTTTGTAGTCTGGAGCGCTCTATACAGCGCCAAATTTCGAAATAACTCGTTATTCCGAAATGCCCTGTAACCTTGGCTATGTCTAGACTGCAGGCTTCTTTCGAAAGATGCTCTTTCGAAAGCATCTTTCGAAAGAGCATCTTTCGAAAGAAGCCTGCAGTCTAGACATAGCCAAGGTTACAGGGCATTTCGGAATAACGAGTTATTTCGAAATTTGGCGCTGTATAGAGCGCTCCAGACTACAAAATAAGTATTTCGAAATACACTTGAAATAAGCTACGCCATTTGCACTCCGCACATTGCGTAGTTTATTTCTACAGTGTAGACACAGCCATAGTGTTTAGAGGACTGAGGAGCAGAGTTTAGTAAACACTGAGGATGCGCCTATGCTGCACCCAGAGCTGGAAATAAGATACACAATTTGAGCTATGCAAATTGCGTAGCTTCTTTTGAGTTAATTTTGAAATTGCTTATTTCAAAATTTGGCATTTTCTACACACCACTTATTTTGAAATAAATCACTATTTTGAAACATCCCTTACTCTTTGTGGAACGAGGTTTACAGGGACGTCGGAATAGCAAGTCCATTGTATTTCGAAATAACGGGTGCGCTCAGCAGACACAGATTAGCTGCTGTTATCTCCGGTATCCCAGAATAGCAGTGCAATGTAGATGTAGCCTAAGGGTGAAATCTTAGTCCCAATGAAATCAGTGGAAGTTTTGCCACTGACTCCCTGAGGCCAGAACGTCACCCAAAGTCTGTACCAGGGTCCCGTGGCAGAGCAGCGTTGGGAAAGTCATCAGCCTCCCATGTAATTTAGACTCCATATTGAGGAGCAATGGTCTAGCACAGTGTTTTTCAGCGTTCAGGTCATGACCCAGCACCGAGGGACCCTGGCAGCCAGCTACAGCTAGGTTGTGACCCAATGAATATCACTACTAGTCCCTACCTGTTCTGATATGCTACACCGCAGACGTGGCCAGCAGCAGGTCTGGCTCCAAGGCAGGGGGGCCTCGGTGCTCGGAGTGCTGCCCCTGCTCTGAGC